TTTATCACGGTATATTAATCATCTCATGCAGTTTTAATTACATGCTATTGCTATCATGAAAACAGCGTCAGCTGTTGAAAGTCAGAGTTTTTTAATTAAGATTGATCTGCATGATTGTAATTTCTCAACTAAATCAATTGACTGCAAAATGTGATCAAAAAGTGTGAAGTGACTCTCATGATCATGTTAATACAATTTTTTCATTAAGAGTTTTCTCAGGGATCAAAGAGAGACCACATCGATCGATCTTTACTTAAGTGTTGTCTGTCGACAGTCTAGATCTAGTCGAGCTCTCCTGATAAAAACAATTTTAAGTATTGAATGTGGTAATGTGGACCTTTGCATGGATATTCATACTGGAAGCAKTCGCCATTACAGCAGCCAATGCAATAACAATCGTCATATTCACCAGAACACGCCGTCTTCACAGCAARCAGTACATTATGATTATCARCCAGGCTGTMGCTGATCTCTTCGTTGGYCTWGTGTCTGTTCCAATGTTTATTRTCTTCATACTTATTGAAGACCTGAATTATCCTTCTTCATTCAAACGAGTTGTTGTAATACATGACTCTTTTTTTGGATCAGCTTCCTTATTTGGTTTGGTAGCGTTGGCCACTGAACGAGCACATGCAACATACTTTCCATTCAGACACTCCACCTTAGGTAAAGGACCGTACATCATCGGGATAATTTCGATGTGGGCAGCTTCAGTCATCGTGGTTGTTCCACATTTTGTTTTCGTCGGAGGTATCACCAGAAAAATTAAAATGTCTGTTATTGGTGCCTCGTTCCTGATCATTTCTGGTGCTTATTCGCTCATCGTTCTGAAAGTCCGTTGCGGCACCATCACTCAAACTCATGATGTAACCATCCAAGAAAACAAGAAACTAACTGTCACTCTTGCTGTCGTTACTGTATTAAGTTTGGTCACGTGGTTACCCTACCAATGTATGATAGCTGTTGGTTTTCAAACTTCTATTTTCATTTCACTCGCGACAAAATTCCTCCATTACGGCAACTCCCTCGTTAATTCTGTTGTCTACGCGTTTCGTATGCGCGAAATAAAAAGAGAAATCTTGCGCATCTTCCGGTGCTGTCGCAACAATCDAACCTCAATTCACGCTGAAAGCGAGTTAGGTATCGTTCGGACTTGAGTAATAAATAGAATTCTTATCTTTATCGGCGTCATGGATTCTTTACATTCACTTGATATGAATTACTTCTACTCGCTTCCTTGTAATTTAATCATTTCTGTAAGAAATTATTTATTACAAGTACTCCATGGTAGTGATTCTCACGTACAGCGGAAAAGCTATTGAAACTAATYTACAATTGTRCAACARGATCTGGGCRTTGGCGCTTAAGTGTGAGGTGAGAGCAAGGTCTTCAAGAGAGCCATTCACCGACAAACAGGCTTCCGTCTTTCTTTGTTTCGGGGTACTTGGACTTTCCATCTTGCGCTTTCATTGTTTTAGATATGTTTCAAAGACATTCTTAAATTGCTCAGTTTTTGTAATTGCTTTTCACTTGTTAGCTTTTAAGACTTTAACAATGTAGCGAGTGTCATGTTAGTTTCTTTAGATTTATTAGTTGCAAGCGAAAGCTCTTTGACGGAGATTGTTTACAATGATATTGGCGAGCCCGCAAGATGACTCATAGTGGGACACTCAAAATAGCCTTAAAATAATTACATTATCAGATCAAACTGCGGTTTGCAGAATGTGGGATACTTCCGATTATAATTTCTTCAAATAAATAGAGGGTGAAGAACCATCAAAATACGGTCTCCACCGCAGCAAATTAGACATTCGTTAAATTTTCGGAACAGTTATTGGTAAGTAGATTGTTCCGGTTGGTTTTGAAAGATTAATGTTCTTTTTAGAATTTCTTCTTTTGCCCYAAAACAAGGGCTTTCTAGATGATTTACTGGTTTCTAACACCTGTCTACAGTAACTAATATGTCAACATGTCATTATGAAATTACACGCTATTGGAAGACTTTTAATATCCTAAAGTAGCTTGAATTACATGCAATTGGGTCGCATATATTAACTTGCTTTAGTAAAACTTGTGTTTAATTTGCCACACACCTTGATTTCTTTTGGATTTTTTTTCATTCATAACATAGGCAATTACAGCTCAATTATCACGTCCGTTTAATTCTAACTTCTCAAAATCCGTTTAGCCTCACATCGCCCTGTGCCCGAACCAAATCAAAGCAAAATGTGGTACTTTGCATGGGTATTCGTCTTAGAGTCTGTCGCCATTGCAGCAGCCAATACTGCAACCATCGTCATATTCACCAGGACGAACCGYCTTCAAAGCAAACAGTACATTATGATTATCAGCCAGGCYGTMGCTGATCTCTTCGTTGGCCTTGTGTCTGTTCCTATGTTTACTGCCTGGAGAGTTAACTGGCAAGGTGACAGGACAACAGTGTTCTTTACCTTCTTTGTGATGGCTGATACCTTTTTTGGAATAGCCTCCCTATCTGGTTTGGCAGCGATGGCCATTGAACGAGCACATGCAACATACTTTCCATTTCGACATTACACATTAGGTAAAGGCCCGTACATCATCGGGATTGTTTTGACGTGGACTGCTCCACTTTTAGTRACAGGTGCATTGATGGCTTCCATTYTTCATAATGAAAATCGGATCAAGGACAACATAAAATTGGCAGCTATGTGCTTCGCGCTTGTGATGATTGTTGCTGCGTATTTTCTCATCGTTCTGAAAGTCCATCGCACAACCATCCARACAAATGATGTAAACATCCAAGAAAACAAGAAACTGACTGTCACGATCGCTGTTGTTACTATTYTAAGCCTTCTCATGTGGCTGCCCTTCAAATGTCTTGCTGTAGTTGGTTTTAAGGCTGCCTCTGCTTCTTCTCCTTCTATTTACTACTCTGCGAAATTTCTCCATTACGGCAACTCCCTCGTTAATTCTGTTGTCTACGCRTTTCGTATGCGCGAAATCAAAAAAGAAATCCTGCGTGTGTTCCYGTGCTGTCGCASCAATCGAATCTCAACAACAGATGAAAGGCAACTTGAAAACATTGGAAAAGTCACAAATGTCACCATTGAATAAAGCGAAATACTGAATAATTCATGCTCTCTGGATCTTGTTATTGTTTGAGCTATT